TCGAAGGAGTTCCACCTTTCCTGCCACTCCATTTGAAAAGCAGTTGAGGGGTTTCCAATGGTACAATTTGCCCGGCCTATAAAAGGATCAGACAGACCAAGAACAACGTAAGTAAATTCCTCCGAGCCAAATACCTTCCAATTATCTACCTCCTTACTAACTTAATCATCAGAGGGTCGACATCAGAGTCCCTCCGATCATCAACTTCCTTGCAGGTGCACCCCATCGATCGCCAAATCATCCTATATTCCATTGGAGCAACTTTTGGGATCAATAGATACGATAATAAAATCAGTACCACAATCTTTCCCACATTAATATGGCATAAGACTTTTGTATTTACACCTGCTAGCATTATTCCCAACTTATTTGAGGCTTGGAAGAGAACCACTTATTCTGTTAGCATGCTTGACAAATCTCATCGATCCCATAAATCACGAGATCTCCTATCTTCAACATTTTGTTCTTGCCTCAATTCTTTCTATACGAAAAGTTAACCATGTCATTATGTTGTAAACCATACTATTAAAGTATGATAAGAACACAAAATAGAAAGCAGGGGAAACTTCAGCCCAAAAGCCAAATAAGCTACCAAGCTTTAAGGAGTTTTGAGGAGATAACTTTAATTCGAGGATGTTATCCTCTCTCTAATAGTATGGACTATGGTTTGCAGTAGAGAATTCACGACCCTGAACTAGTTGAGATGAATTATTTCATCCCTTTCCTTCCAAGTGTAGTAGCCAGTCAAAAAAGGTTGTCTTTTGTACTACGTCAAGCATGGATTTACCCTAGGAAGCATGAATACATATATTAAATATGGATACGATCCGATACAGATATAGCGATATGAAAAAACATAAAAAAAAAATAAAAGACTTCATATATCTAGAATACATCAATAATAAAATATATTTTTTTACTATTATTTGAAATTTTGATAATTATATTTTCTAATAATTTCTTTAACAAAAATACAAAAAATTAGTAACTTTTACTTTCAGGAAAAATATTGATCATCTCATTATGTGTGTCTATAAAGTGAATGTGACAAATTAAGAAATTAAAATCAAAATTTAACTAGGTATTTTACTTTAAAATTCTTGTTCTGAAGAGATCTGGTGTTAAGTTATCCATTTTATACTCTTTTGACACATGATAGTATACTTAAGAACCATAATTATCTTCAAGTCGTATGTATTTTTCTTTATTTGTTGTATTATATGTGAATTCGAGAAGGAAAGGCAAAGATGAACATTAAAATATATATTTCCCTATGAATGTATGTTCATATATGCACAATGGACACGTATCCACAAAGTATGTAGATATTTTACTTTCTTGATATGATCCATATCATCGAAGGTATGTATTTGACACATCTCTTCGAATATCTGAGACATATTGTATCTAATACAGTTTTCAACACAAAATGTGTTAATTTTAACAAAGTATTTGCACTACACAGCGTTTACCTCTCCATTCTTAAGTAGCTTTTGCAACCAAAGGCTTGAAATATGATGCCACATATGGCCACACACTTTTATCAGTTTGCTCCAAATACACAAAAATAGGTGAAAATAGGATTAGAAAATCCTTTATATCAATTTGCCACAATCAGACATTTGATTTTGGTGCAATTAAGGAATTCCAATTTATCCAATTGGGAAGTGTGCTTTGGTAAAACCAAGCTATTGCATAATCATTTCTTTATGCTCATCACAAAAATTTGGCTCTAGGTGCAATTAGCTCTCAATTTGAATTATCTATTTTGTTAGGAAATTTATTTTAGTCGGTTAATTTCATGAATACTTATTGTAAATCTCAATCTAAATCTATAATTATGATGTTTCAAATATCAAGTTCTAATAGCTTCGAGTAAGGAAAGATTTCATGTTTCAAAGTCGAATAAAAGATCTCCAATGCAACTTTAAGTGTTTAGGAAAAATATAATGAACTAAACCTTTAGTTTATTTTGAAAATTTAGCTCATTAGGTTAATTGAATTGAATTTAGAATTATTCATGACTCTTAGACTTTTCACAAATTTTTTTTCTTTCTAAATATCAAATGTGTTTTGAAAACAAAATTTGAGTCATGTATCAAATCCTATTTGATCAACGCTCCTTAGAGTTCAATATGTCAAATTTTTGTTTGGTTTCTAGCTTAAGAACCGATAGTGATCACCCTCTGCTCACTCGCCTTCAGTTAGAACAGTCTCACAACGTTTAGGGAAAATTTGGAGAGGGCTGATGAGTTGGACAGTAGATAATGCCCTCTTGGCCGCTCGAGAGACCTGCAGACGGCTCAGGCGGTCCTAAAATAGCCTGAGTGGTCTCTGCTGCATTCAAATGGATTGAATCTTTTTCTCATTCCAGTGACAATAGCCATCCCACATCTCTGTGATTGCAAATTTAGGTTTTCTTGGTCCCTATGTCTACTTTAAGAATTTATGTTTTCTCTTAGAAGACTAAAAGTTACCTCTTAAACCTTTAGAGAGCCAAGAACAACCCTAAATCCCTAAAATCCAAAGGCCAAACCATCTCGATTCTTCCAATTCAACATCACGCGTATTGAAGAAGGTGATATTGCATGGTGTTTTACTAAACTCACATTAGTTGTGTGCATATTGATATCCTTGGGAGACCACCATTAAAGATTGCTCGAGACCTAGAAGGCCAGTGAGCACGTCCAAGTGAATCTATTAAAGACTTTAGTGGCTGACTCTGTAGGACAGATTGACAAGGAAATGATCATCTAATCATTAACGAATAAATTGAATTATAAGACTTAAGTACTTGTAATTTAACTTTAGAGTAGCGGACTAGGCTAGGTGAACCGAGATTGATTCCGCTATTTTTTCCTAAAGGGTTCTCACGCAAATAATTGTTTGCGTTGTAGATATTCTTATTCTTGCTTTAATTTAGCATACACACATATTTGCAGTAGAACACACCATATATATGATGTATTGACACTTGCAGTGCACATTTATTCAATTCATCATTGTGGTTGGTTTTTGTGGAAGTTGGTTTTGTTGGAGGGATTGGTGAATTGGATACATATGTGGATCCATTCATTTATGAGAGCTTGTTTTTGAATTGGTAAAAAGAGTTCAAACACTTAATCGAGAAATTAAACTTTTAATTTGGTAGTTGTGATCAATTAGGTTATAACTGGTTGTTGTTAAAACAATAATTTTTAATAAATATATTCACCCTTCTAAGTTGTGCGTGCAATTCCACTTATATAATAGTGTGAGAAGATCCTTACATTAGATCAATTATGGTTGTTTATCTTCTATTATTGCTTAATCACTGATGCATCATTTCAAATATTTTGAGATTAGGTAGTAATGTAAGGGAAAAGATAATAATAAAACCACTGACATGGCTCATGCCTTCAAGTCTTGCAAATAGGCCTGTTAATGATCGAACTTCGATTGGATCTGAATTAATTCGAATTTGAATCTAATTAAAAAATTAACTACTGATTTTGATTCGTTTATCTGACGGATAAAAAAATATTAGTTCATATCCAAATCTGCTTATAATCGAATCTGATTACTTGATCTGATTCATAATGGTATTTCATCAAAATATTAACAAAAAACTTTTTTTAAAGAACAAATATAAGTAATCAACACACTTATATGTGTATATTATATATAAATATATATTGCATACAATAAAGGCAAATATATATATATATATATATATATATGAATTAGATCAAATTTGTATATATTTATATTTATGTTTAATTTAAGATGAATTCGAATCAAATTCAAACTAAAATTCAATTAATTGACTGGCGTACTTGCAACTGGCAGAATAGCAGTGTCAAAAAGTTTATAACCTAACGAATAGACAAAAAGTCGATGACATTGAAAGCTTGTGTCCACTTGCCTTTTCTCTGCGGCAACCCTATTTCCCTTGGAACTTCAGAACGTAGGCCCATTACACTTTAAATGCATAGTACGTAATTTAGTATTAAATAAAAAATAAAATTGACTGAAAAAATAATAAAAATTATCTGAAAGTATAATGGGGAGTAATGATATTAATGTTGGATTCTGATTTTAAAGAGCCGTCAAAAGATTTATATATATTGAAGGCCCATGAGATATTGAATGCTTGAACCTCATAACCCCTTCTTGAGTACTATTCAAAGAACTTGAAAAAAAAGAGGATATTGAAGGACATGACATTTTTTTTTTTTTTGATTGAAAAGGACATGACATATTTAGTATATTAATCTGCCTAATCAAATACCTCATTTTGTAAGAAGAGATGTTATTTATGCGATTTGAACTCATTAGGCTTAAGTGATCACAATAAAAAAAATAAGCTTGTTATTATAAACTCGGACACTAATTCCAAGGTAATATAAAAGTCCAAAAAACTAGTTTTGGACTCTTTTATCAGACGGTATGCCACTGGCAAATAGGGAGGAAGCTATGAAAAAAGCAAGTTGGGCCCTCATTCCTGTTTCATAAGAATTAGAGGATCCTTCAAATTTTATTTTAATGGTAAGAATATCTGCACATAAGCAAATTTAGTAATTTGAAAAACTATCCTAAAATTTCAACAATTAAAACCAACTACAGCTACTAATGCTTACAAATTTTTACCAATTAAAATAAAATTGAAAGATCCTCCAATTTTTATCAGTTAGGATGAGAGCCTAACCCTATTAATTATTCCAACTGTCAAGGATTAAATCCTTCACCGAATGGCTGAGAAATTCTTGAGAGAATCAAGTGTTGCCAATTAGTCTAGATTGTTCAAGTATAAAATTAAAAATATAGCATTCATTTAATCATCTAATTACGTTTACAGATAACATAGATAAATGATAAATACCACTGTTGTTGGGTATGATGTCCTCTTTTCCTCAAAATTTCCGCAAGGACTTTATAGAGCCAAGCATCCAACATCCAGCGTTTAAGGTGCACAACTTTTCAACTTTGGCGAACTTCTTGTCCTGTTAAATTACCAGATCATGATAGTTCTCCAGAACAAAATCACCAACATCGAGCTTTCTGTTACCAGTCAAAAGTTTGTGCCAATGAAGCTTGCTTCTTATTTGCTTATGTTGATGCTCATACATGCAATCAAGCCCTCTTTTGCTGTAGCAAGGCTACAAGCTGTTTCAACGTTGGGTCTATTTACAGTTCCTTCCAACTATGTGTCTTATAGTTTGAAGGCAGTCCAGGATAGGGAATCTAGGAAAAAACTAACACCACATCCCCCACTAGCCAATATTCCGACCCATTTCAAATCTCCTCCGCCTAGGCCACCATCCCCACCACCGCCAATCTCTATGTCGCCACCACTCCCACCACTATCTCCGCCGCCGCCACCATCACCATCGGCTTAAAGTCGTCTTTGCGTGTGCAACCTTCTTGATGCTTGAAAGCTCGTTCGTTTGTTTGTACTGCCACCAACCACTTTATAGTAGTTGAGTCTTTTATTAGATTAATTGTTTTTCTGCTTTGTATGATTGCCATCCTCTATCATGTTTTGGTTCTCTTTTCCTGTGCTTGTATCTACATGGAGTATGCAATTAATTTTTATGCATGTATCGCTTAGGGAAATCTTTCATACTTACCCAAAAAAAATTGAGTTTATGTTGTATGAGATCTTCTTAGTAGACAAGTTAAACTTTTTATTTTGTATTTGTGATCAATTAGGTTATAACTGGTGGTTGTTAAAACGAAAATTCTTAATAAATCTATTCACCCCATCTAACTTGTGCGTGCAATTCCACATATATAATAGTATGAGAAGATCCTTCCATTAGATCAATTTCATGTACTTTTAAAATATATTTGATAAAATTATTTATGGTTGCTTATCTTCTATTATTGCTTAATCATTGACACAACGTTTTAAATATTTTGAGATTATGTAGCAATGTAAGAGAAAAGATAATAATAAAATCACTGACTTCGCTCATGCCTTCAAGTCTTGCAAATAGACTTGTTAATGAATTGAATTTTGATTAGATCTGAGTCCATTCAAACTTGAATTTGATTAAAAAATTAGAGCTTCACAACTTGTCAAATGATTCAAAAAATTGGCTTCACAACTTGGAAGCATGCCAGTTAATTTGAGCTGGCAAGTTGACTTTTTGTTTTTTGAAACTAGGAAGAGTGTGGATTTCAAAAACATTTGGTTAAGGCTACACACAAGAGCTTCTATTGACCAAGTGAAATGCTAAATAATGTAGACTTCATGACTTCAAAGTCTTCAAAGCCATCATTCTTTACCCGGAAATTGTCCCATTGAGAAAGGCATTTTCCCCGAAAGCATAAAAAAAAGAGGGAAGACCAATCAACAAGTTATACAGCAGTGTAAATAACACAGCTTTTGATCTAATAAAATACATTCCTACATTAACATACAAATTGTTATTAAAAATTATTATTGGAGTTGTAGATTCCAAAAGAAAAATGATATACCAATTCACAAATTTAATTATTTTTTTAGTTATCATAAAAAATAATCCACAAGTCACAAAAAAGATATAATAGAGAAATGAGTAACACTATACTGATAAAAAAAATGACCCAAAAAATAAGTACTAAATGAGATAACATTACCATAATAGTGTTGTTGGTCCCACATTTATACATTTAAAACTGCAAAAAAAATTATTATAGTAATGTCACATCATTTTATCCGTGTTTTTAGTTCTTTTTTTTAGTCAATATAGCATTATTGTAGTGAAATATTTATTTTTTAGCAACGATATGTTGGCCACATTTTCGAATAAAACTAGTGAGTTAATTTTTCAAGTTTGAATAACAGTGTTTGTTTCCAAGTTAAGGGAGATTGTAGCAATAAATTTCCATTTTAGCCATATGATCCTAATACACTATACTGGGATCGTCTCAAAAGTGTATCGGGCCGTTTGCGTAGTAACCTGAATTACTGTTTGCATCCTCACAAAATTTGTTTGTAGTTATAGTAAAACATCATGATAATTCCTCTCAATTTTTTCAATACAAGATTTTAATCAAAAATTATAATAAGACTCATTCTATTCTGATGGATTTTCTACCAATAAACGATTACTGATTATTGAAGAAATGGAAGGGCATTAGTACTGGATTGGATGCTCCAGCATTACATAAGCTTTACTTCATTCAACATGTACATACCATGTTAAATGTGTTTTTTCTGATAAGTTTGCAGTCCAAAATTATAAATGTATGCTCATCAGACGAACACCTTTCTTCCTAGAAAAAAGGGGTTTCTAGAATTATTTGCAAAGCTAAAGAAAATAAAAGAGAAAAAGAAGCATACATATATAGGCTGCTCCAGGGAACTTGACTTCATTGGGCTAAGTAATGAGTAAATGACCTTACACCCAAGATTGCAATAGACTGATGCTTAAAAGTAGGTCTGTTAATTGACCAGATTTCAACACGAATTTGATCTGAATTCGAATCGGATTATTGAGATAGGATTGGCTTTTTAGTCAATTAACCAAACCCGCATTTGAATATGTTATCTAATATTTCATCTATTCGAATATGAACTATAAGCATAATAGTTAGATCTGGATCAACTTTTTCAAATATTGTTTGATTCTGATTAGTGCATATCATCCATGCATAGGTAGAAGTCGTTAATGTTTGTTTATTTATGTGGCTCTCCCACGAAAGTCTACTATCCTTTTGTTTTTTATCTACCACCCTTTTTTCTATATATCAAATGCCATACACAGCTGATTGTTTTGCACTCTGTTATACTTGTTTAACCATTACCAAGCCATGTAGACTTGTTCCCATTTGGTTATAGTTGTGTTGTTCTTGGGACTGGCTGGGTTTGGTTCACAAACTTGCCAGGGACAGCGTCTTCTGTTCTCTCGTGTCTGTGAATTACAGCATTCAGTGGCGGCCTTGGGGAAATATACACGGGATGACTCTCCTCGAGATACTGGGAGAAGGTTTCCAGTACCACCTGCTCCTGCATACACAACCGTCAAACACATCAGCAGGGCCACTCACCACCACCTCAAAACATCTAATTTTCAAAGATGGATTTTAAAAGTGAGCGAAGAGGGTTTGTCCGAGGTGTTCGTCCACGGCGCTCGAGTGTTTCTCACTAGCTGGATAATAATTTCCTTTTCAGTTTTTGCTTTGAGTGGGCTATCTAGATTGATCGTTTAAAATGAAAGCAATGTTGTTTGTGATATTCTAAATATAGTAAAATCACATATTGAAATTTCTGATTTTGAACATGTAATGTATAGGAAAATAGTAACAATCAAGTGCGAAACAGTTACACAAAATACAAAAACAGTTACAGAAGAATTAACGAAACAGTAACAATAGTCTTAACGAAACAGTTACACGTAACTGTTTGTCAAACCAATATACATATTAACTCGGTTGCAAAACATAAACTGTTATTAAACTTTATATAAATCAAGGTTAGTATTTGACACTATATCTTTAAGACAGATTTTGCTCCCACACACGGAGCTTATGGAATATAGAGTTTCTGTCTCCCAGGATACAATGATCTTCACACGAATAGAAATAGCATTTCAATCTATCCGTCCGACGAACTAAAAATTGTGTTGTGTACTCGTATACACATATTGAAAAAAATTTATCGAGTTATGCATTTTAAGAAAATTTTGATGCTATTTTTAAGAAAATAATAGGTATAAAATAATTTTAAATGATGTAAGTAAAACAATTAATTTTGAATTTGATATAGTAAGATCAATTTTTTAAACATTAGAATCTTGTGTTTCATCGTGGCTTCAGACACGGCTTATGACTAGTTTATATATAATATACATATATGTGTATTGATTATTTATATTTGATCTTTAAAAAAAAGTTTATTTGTTAAAATTTTGGTGGAATATCATTATGGATCGAATCATGTAATCAGATTGAATGTTCAATTTAAAAAAATTTGGATATGGACTAATATTTTTTTATCCGTCAGATAAAAGAATCGAAATCGGTAATTAATTTTTTAAACAGATTCAAATTCAAATGGACTCAGATCCGATTAAAATTCGATCTATTGATAGACCTATTTGCCAGACTTGAAGGCATGAGCCATGTCAGTGGCTTTATTATTATCTTTTCTCTTACATTACTACCTAATTTCAAAATATTTGAAATTTTGTGTCAGCGATTAAGCAATAATAGAAGATAAACAACCATAAATAATTTTATCAAAGACAATCTAAAAGTACATCTTATATATGGAAATTGATCTAATGTAAGGATCATCACTCACTGTTATACACGTGGAATTACACGCACAACCTAGGGGCATAAAAGATTTATTAAAAATTATCATTTTAAAAATCACCAATTATAACCTAATCAACCACAACTATCAAATTAAAAGATTAATTTCTCGATTAGGTGTTTGAACTCCTTTTCCCAATTCAAAAACAAGCTCTCATAAATGAATGGATCCACATATGTACCCAATTCACCAATTCCTCAAACAAAACCAACTTTCACAAAAACCAACCACAATGATGATTGAATAAATGTGCAATGCAAGTGCCACTATATCATATATATGGTGTGTGCTATTGCAAATATGTGTGTATGCAAAATTAAAGCAAGAATAAGAATATCTACAATACAGACAAATATTTGTGCGAGAACCCTTTAGGAAAAAATAGCGGAATCGATCTTGGTTCACCTAGCCTAGTCTAAGTCTTATAGTTCAATCAATTCGTTAATGGTTAGATGCCCATTTTCTTGTCAATCTCTCCTTCTGAGTCACTCACCGAAGTCTTGAATAGATTCACTTGGACGCGTTCACTGACCTTCCAAGTCTCGAGCAATCTCTAAGGATATTTTCCTAAGACTCTCAGTATGCACACAACCAAAGTGAGTTTAGCAAAACACCATACAAGATCCCCTTCTTCAATATGTGATGTTGAATTGGAAGAGTCCAGATAGTTTGACATTTGGATCTTAGGGATTTAGTGTTGTTCTTGACTATCTAAAGGTTTAATAGGTAACTTTTAGTCTTCTAAGAAAAAACCTAAATTTGCCAAGTAGACTTGGGGACCAAGAAAACAAAAATTCACAAAGTACGGTTTGAGTCGTTAGAGAGCTGTTGGATGACTATTGTCACTTGAATGAGAAAAAGATTCAATGCAGTCAAATGGAGCAGAGACCACTCAAGTTTTCTTAGGATTGCCCGACCCATTTTCAGGTCTCTCGAACGGCCAAGAGGGTAGTATCTACTGTCCAACTCATTAGCCCTCTTCAATTTTTCCCTAAATGTTGAGAGATTGCTCTAACCAAAGGCGAGTGAGCAGAGGGTGGTCACTACTAGTTCTTAAGCTAGAGACCAAACAAAAATTTGACCTATTGAGCT